TTTGGAATTTTCATATTTTAATTAGATTATTGCATTCTAGGATTTAATTTAGATAGTTGGAATATATTTATGCATACACTAAATTTTAGAAAAAGAATAAATTCATGCATATTAGATAATTAAATGAGTGAATAAACTTAGAAATAAAATTTTCCCCACTCTTCATGTAATTTTCGGCCATGTGGAGACACACATAGATTTTATTTTTCCATGTGTACAATTCTTTAATGTAGAAATGCTTATTAGTTAGGAGAATTGAAGGCTTAAGTGGCTTGTACTTTCTTCATTGAGAATGGTACTCCACTTTACCTTTCAATTCAAGACTCATTTACTCTTTCTCTCTCTCCACCTAAGCATTTGAAACCCACTCTCTCTTCTTCATCTCTCTAATTTCGGCCATCACCACCATCCCCTCACCAAGACTCCATTTTTACTCAAGCTCATGCCATAGAACCATCTCCAATCCAACCCACCTAAAGAGGAAATTCCAAGAACACCCCCAAATGCTTGCAAAACTCTATAAATACAACCCAACACCCAAGTGAATTTTCATCTTCTCCACCATATCTTAAAGCTCTTAAGAAAATATTCTTCTTCCTTCTTCTCCTCCATTTCGAAAGTATTAGTGTAAGAAGCTCAAAATCTCTCCTCATTTCCAAAAAGAAGTTTCTTCAACTAGAAGTGTAAGAAAGCTCTCATTTTTCTTCTTCCTTTTCAATTTCGAAAATTCCCTAATATTTTCTTCTAATTTCTTTATAATTTCTTCAAGGTTCTTGTAGTGGGTTATTCAATCCATCAATTCCTTCAACATTCCCAAGAGAAAGCAGGTGAGAATTCCATATTCTTGCTACAAGTGATTCTTCACCAATATTATTTTTTTGTCTCCTTCTTTGTTCTTAATGGCCGACAATTTGGGAAGTTATAGTACTTTACTTGTTTATTGTTAGATCATCCATGCATGTAAGAATCTAAGCTTTAACTGATATAATCTTGAAGAACTAAGAATAATATTGTAATTTAATTTTTATGTATGTACGTGTATATATATATATATATATATATATATATATATATATATATACTAGACCTGCGTGATCTTAAGGAAACTTCGATCCATGGTTTTCGTAAACTTCTGTGGTCGAAGAAAGTACTTGATCCATGGTTTATCTATAATTTATATGTGCTATATATAAGTATATGTTTCTATGTGTATATATATCGACCTACGTGGTTGTAAGTGTACTCCCTCCGGTCGAGGAAGCTTATGATCCATGGTTTATGATCTATGCGTAATAAGATAATATACGAAGATAAAAATCCAGAACAAGATTAATAAAAATGGAATTTTGTGTGATTGAATTGTTGATGGTTCGAATATTTTGGAAATAAAATGAAATAAACGGAAATTTGGTGCTACTTGAAAGAAAACTTCAAGTCTCTTGAGAAAGAGGGCTTGAACTTTAATTAATAAAACTTGGAGATAGTAATTATAAATAACCGAATGCTTTGAGTTGTTTTGCTATATGTGATCTATGTTCTTTGCTTGAGTTGTTACGTGTCTTACTTGCTTTTGTGATTTTGTGACTAAACTATGTGCCTTTGTGAAATATGTGGAAATATGTGTGCTTATGTGAAAGCTAACTTTGAATATGTGAAATGAAGAATATATACTAACTTCACTTGCACGTTTTTAAAGTTGGAAAATCTTGTAAAACATAGATCGAACCCCCGTCTGGGTATGAGGGACCGGTACCCCAAAAATGAGATGAAGAGTGTGTGGTTTGATTCCACTTATGAAACGGGTTCCAAATAAATGAAGGCTTATTGTCTATGGTTTTACTTGATTTTTCAAAGGATATCTGAACGAAAATGTTTTTCTCACACGCCTAATCAAGTTGCTTGAAATGAATGAAAGTATGTACTAACCTCACTTGAACGTTTTTAAAATTGGGAAATCTTGTAAAACTTAGATCGAATAAGCACGGGGTATGAGGGACCGGTACCCCGAAAATGAGATGAAGAGTGTCTGGTTTGATTCCACTTATGAAACGGGTTCCAAATAAATGAAGGCTTATTGTCTAAGGTTTTACTTGATTTTACAAAGGATATCCGAACAAAGATATTTTTTTCTCACACGTTGTATGAGCACTTGAATGAATGTATGTGTAAAAGAATGACGACTCCCTTGTAAGGGATTATTCTTATTCCTTATGAAATGATGAAAGAAAGGTCTAAGAGGTAAAATGAGAATGGTCTAAGAGATAAACCGAGAAAGTAAAGGTAAATTCGGTAAATTTTTTTAAAGAAATGGTGATTGAGGTATATGTATACTTGTATATGTATCTATATGTATGTATATGTATGATTATATGATTCCTTGTCTAAGTGTATTTGATATTCTATGGAATTCTCATTGAGTCTCAAAGACTCATATAGGTGTTGAATTGCTTGTAGGCTTACCCGATTTCGAGCCCGAGGATCGTGGTTGAAGTTGAGTTCGTGGATTGGGAGAAGAGTTCATATGGAGGCATGGTGGATTTTGGGTGCTCTTAATATACTAATGTGGTTTTATTTGTACAATTTGTTATTAAGGATATTCGACACCGTTCTAGGTGTTTATTATCGTTCTCTACCGCCTTTTGGAAGAACTTACTATTGATGCATAATATGTAGTGTTACATAGGAGTAAATTTACCTCTTCTGATATATGTTATGGTATTTCCTCAAAAACTTATGTAACCTTAGGCAAGTTTTCATAAAAACCTTATAAAATGCCCGTCGGCTAGTTGTGTGTTATGTTCTGTCTAGTAGTTTGATAATTCGTGTTAATTATCTCTTCCATACATTATTGCATGACATTTTACAACAAAATAGGTCTCTCTGTTAGGTTCATTTTGATAGGTCTTTTGCATTATTTGGATAATCCATGAATTGTTTCCCAACACTGCTCTGAAATAGAGTCGTTGTAGTATTTACAATAAAATACAAAGTTTTTCTCACTCGAAAGGATTTATTCCACTTGGAATGGAATCCTAACTCACTAATGTGATTTGGTATAGAATTTGAGGATATTTGAAACAGTGGGGAATTTATAAATTTTCAAAGGTCACTCCTCTGTTTTAGATTTTCAAACTGTACAGTTGTACCATTTTAATCATTCCTTTCAAATGGCTCAATTTATTTAAAAACTGTTTTTACTGGATGATCTAGGCCCTTATTAGAGCCTTTGGTAAAAATTTCAAGTGTTTTTCACGAGCGGTTAGAGAGTTATTAATTTGTTTTGATTGATAGATCGAAACTGTCCAAAATTTCCTCGCTTTGCTAAAATGGGACTTAATCTCTAGTCATGCATGCATAGCTTGTGAACATTGATTAAGTGAATTAATGTTGTTTGTTAATATGTGGACACTCTTACTCTGATTTTAAAAGAAAAACTTTGTCGAAATTTTCTATTCGTGATTAATAAATTTCAAAGTCTTCCGCTATCATATTCTATAATACTAATTAGGTATAACTAGAAAAGGGGTGTCACAGTCAACATATAAATATTACTCTATTACATGATAATAATGAGTTGTGTTGTGTTAATATTATTGTCCTAGAGATTAATATAGCAATATTACTGTGTTAAACTGCAGTATAGTTAATTTTACTGTGTTTAACAGTAATATAGTTAATTTTACTGTCAATCACATCAATATTGTTGTTTAAAAGGGGGGGGGGGGGGATGTTAAAGGAAAAAAAAAAGAAAATCGAAAAAGACGCGGAAAAATCAGGAAGGCAATTTTTTTTGAAATTTTTTTACGGTCTCCGGCGCTGACTTTTTTTTTTTTTTTTTGAAATTCTTTTTTTCCTGAAATTTTTTTTCGGCCGGTCTTCGGCGTTGACTATTTTTTTTTTTTTTTGAATTTTTTTTTTCTTAGAAAAAAATATTTTAATTAATATTATTGTCTTGGCTACTAAATTACTATCTCAGACAGTAATATTAATGTTTGAGACAGTAATATTATGAATATTATTTTCCCGAACAGTAATATTATTAATATTATTGTCTAAGACAGTTAAATTACTGTTGGAGACAGTAATTTAACAGCCAAGGCAGTAATAATAATTAAAATAATTTTTTTTAAGAAAAAAATTTCAAAAAAAAAAGTCAATTAACAGCTAAATTACTGTCTCCGACAGTTAAATAACTGCTATAGACAGTAATCTAACAACGAATACAGTAATATTAATTAAAAATATTTTTTTAAGAAGAAAAAAGTCAATTAACAGTTAAATTACTGTCTCCGGCAGTTAAATAACTGCTGGAGACAGTAATTTAGCAACGAAAACGGTAATATTAATTAAAATATTTAAAAAAAAGTCAATTAACAGTTAAATTACTGTCTCCGACAGTTAAATAACTACTGGAGACAGTAATTTAGTAGCAAAGACAGTAATATTAATTAAAATATTTTTGAAGAAAAAAAAAAGTCAATTAACAGTTAAATTACTGTCTCCGACAGTTAAATAACTGCCGGAGACAGTAATTTAGCAGCCAAGACAGTAATATTAATTAAAATATTTTTTAAGGAAAAACAAAATTATAAAAAAAAAAAAAAAGTCAACGCCGGAGACCCGGCGTTCAATGGCAGTTGACCGGCCGGAAAAAAAAAATTCAAAAAAGAATTTCAAAAAAAAAGTCAACACCGGTCTCCGGAAGTCAACGCCGGCAACGGCAGCGACCGGCGGTCTCCGGTGGTGGCGGGTCAAAATTGGGGTCAAAATTAAAATTATGGTAAAAATTGGTTAATTGATGAAATTGGGCTAAATTGGGATATAAATCATGAAATTAGAATTGAATTTGGTTTCAATGAATTGGGGGTAATTTTGATATATATAAAAGAATTTTCCTTATTTACAAATAAGTTTGAATGAGGTGGATTTATTTGGAAGACAAAAAAGTTAGATGTCTCTTTTTTAATTAAGTGCATTTCTCATGGGCCTATTTGCCATTTGCCCAATAAATTAACGTAAAAGATATGACCTCACTCCACTTGGAAAAGTCGTGAAGAACTCTCGAAAACTAGAAAGGAGGTAAACTGAAATAGTTAGGGTTTCGAATTCCGTTGACCATCCACCATGGCTATGCAAGCTGGAATGGGATTATCGAGGATCATCCTCGTAGTTGGAGCTGGTATGTATGCACTACGTTAAATACGTATCTTGATTTTGGTACAAATGTTCTGAGTTTGATCTTCTGAGTAAACGTAAATTTCTTCTCTGGAATAGGTTATACGGGAACAATACTGGTGAAGAACGGTAAATTATCAGACGTATTGGGAGAGCTACAGGTAATTCAATTTTCTGCATAATTAATTTTATTTTGTCAGGACGTTTTTACTGAATCAGTATATGGGTAATCGGTTGATTTATCATTAAAATTCGAGTTTTCATTGCAAGAGTTTCTTTTTTCTGTTTTTCGATTTTAAGCTGATAGTATATTTTATTATATTTGAAGATAGTATGCGATGTATCGAGGTCTATCGTTGGGAAATTTAAGTAATATTTGTCAAACTAGAAGTTTCTTGAGCTGCAATGTATTTCCAGTATGTGTGTGTGTATTCTGTATAACAGTTATCAATTTTGCGGATATTTTGAAGAATTTGATTAAAGGCGCTGAGAAAAGAGGGGATGCAGATGGAGACTCCGACTATTCTGATGCCATTGCTACCCAGGTATTACAAATCACAATTTCAACTGAAAATCAATTGATTTATTCCATTCCGTTACCAAGGCTTTTACATCACAATTTTAAAATTTAGCTATTTATACTTATTAATCATTCACAAAGAATAAATCGAATTGGTACTTATAATAACAAAAGAAAAGAGAGGAATATACAACTTTATGTAGTCTATCGAAACCATACCATTTCCTTTAGTGATTCTCAAGTAAACTGCTGACTTGTTAGTTAACAATTAGAATTACCCTGCATATTGTTTTACAAGTAGAATCGACATAGAGCTTTAATAGGATGTGCTATACGCTTCTCTTTTTTTTTTTTTTTTTTTTTTAATTCTGTACAAGTTTTTCTTCATTTTAACAATGCAAAATCAAAGATAGAATTTGTAATAACTCAATAAAATGTAAGAATAATACTCGAGGCTGTATTTGAAATTTTAAAAGTAGCCAATAATATAACTCAATAAAATTGCAATAACTGTAGGCTGGATATATCATGTATATTGTGTTAAGATAACTAATTCAGCGAACAATTTCTAATTTAGATCTACAACTGTTCTGATCTGATGTATATATAGTAACATGCACGGTATTGAAAAAAACAAATGGATTGCATAATTAGCTAGTTTTTAGAAATACAAGACTGTTGTCGATTGCCCATATATTTGTTATTATAATATGCAACCAGATATATTCTTGTGGCTGGGTGATAAAAGAAAGAGAAAATGCAATATTCAGTTTGAATAGTGCCAAAAAATATAAAAGTTTGGATTCAAAGTGTAATAGTTTTAGGAACTTCAAACGAATTGACTGATTTGCCCTCGCATGACATAAATTTAGTGGAGTCATAATGGGATATTCCACCGGATGGAAGCATTCGTCGGTGAAGTGAAAATACCATGCACTTTTGATGGTTACGTGAAAAATATTTGTTCAGAGGGCAATGTGAGAAAACTTTTATAGTTGGATGGCAAAGTGTAACTACCCATTCAATTTTATTGATGTTTATTCAATGGCAATAGTATTTTAATTTTGATTACTTAGTAAGATATTGTACTAATACTTTTAAATTATTCGTTTAAATGAATTTGAAACAAAATGACATCATATTCAATTAATTATTGTCTTGAACAAGTTTGGATTCATTCTTATTTGAATATTTAAATTGTCTTGGGCAAGCGTCAAAATGGATTCAACCCTTGTTGACATTCTTGTTTCTATGAATAAAAATGATACTAATTTAATCTTCTTAAACTTATGGATGATCTTTGTTTTAATATGCTAAATAGGGCTGTATGTCTGATGTTTGACTGTGAGATTGACTGTTTTGGAGGTAGAAATTAGATCCTCGCTGAAACATTTAAGTATTTGCATGTGACACCAAACGATGATACCTTTGAATCTTTAAAAGTGATTGTGGTTTATTTTCTCGAAGGTTCGTCGCTTAGCCATGGAGGTTCGCCAACTGGCCTCATCTAGGCAAATTACTGTTCTAAACGGGAACTCTGGCCAAAGTTAGTATCTTCCATAAGCGTCGGAACTTCAAGGATTTTTAGCTGTGTTAGTTATTCTCGTCCCTTCTCTTCGTGACAGGTAATTTGACATCTCTAATAGTACCAGCTGCTGCTTTGGGAGCTTTAGGTTATGGGTACATGTGGTGGAAGGTACAGTTTTATATCTTTGTATTCATTTTCTTACCCTGGTGCATTTTCCTCACAGCTCTTACTTTCCAATTTACACAACTTATTTTTTGTATTTTACATTTTGACTCCCTTTTGAATCTCTATCCTTTAAATGTTAGGGTCTTTCATTCTCAGATCTGATGTATGTAACGAAGCACAACATGTCAAATGCTGTTGCAAACTTGACAAAACATTTGGATCATGTCTCTGAAGCTCTTGCAGTAAGTATATGTTTATCTGATTAAAATCATTGCAACCATCACTATTTCTGTTCATATATACAGATTTTGTATATTTTTATACCTGAATTGCAACTCGTGACCATTACTTTGTGACTGGCAATAACTGAAATCATCTTAACCCAAGGCGATTAACTACGTCATTAGCTACTGTCTCTTATTTATGTAGTTATGTACTAAGGTTCTTTCTTGTTTTCATGTCTTTCAGAAGTTAACCATTGTTGCATCGCATTAGTTAAAATACCCTCAAGACATCTTTACTTTTGTACTGCTTGTTATTTTTAGCATAAATGAGTGTATTGATTTTCTCTGGATACTTTTTCTGATAGGCAGCAAAAAGGCACCTGACACAGAGAATAGAGAACTTGGATGGAAAACTCGATGAACAAGTAGAGATTTCAAAACTAATTAGAAATGAGGTAAATCTATTTTGCAGTTATTAATATTTAATTGTGATTTTAATTTTTTCTAGTAAGTAATTTGTGAAACAGGCATATAATCTAGCTCAACAACTATAATTCACAAGACTATATGTCGGAATGTGACAAAAACTTTAAATACGTGAAACAGGTTGGCGATGTGCGTGGTGATCTCTCTCAAATTGGCTTCGACTTGGATGAGTTGCAGAGGATGGTTTCTGGTTTGGTTGGTCACTTTTTGAAATACTTTGTTATTTTTCGAATAGTTTACTGAGATTTTTTAAAATCATTATCGAGATATTACATAATGCAGTCGCTATATTGTACAGTAAGCGTGGGTGTTTTTTATTGTGATAATATGATTTGTAGTTTTGGAGTCATTTAAAAATGTATCGTATTAATTTTAAAAAAACCACAATAATTTATTGAAACAGTTATAGGATATGTTGATGCGCGTAGATCAGAAATACCTGAATATAGCTAGGATATGTTCGGGAAATAAACAAAGTCACCTGTAACTGGGGAATCAGAGTTTTCTTCTGAAATTATGGGGAGCTGCCAGCCTGTACTTGATTTTGTCATTAAGGAGGAACTTAGAGGCTGTTGAAGTAATTAACCAAATTAGATTCTCGGTGTGTTGAAGTATCTCCCTCCCCATTACTGTCATTTTCTAATACTGACGCATCTACATGTAAGGTGATACGTATTCATCTTACATTCCAAAAAATATTTCTTTAGATTTTTGTGTATTCAGGCAACTAAAACTTGGCTGGTTCATCAAATTATCTTGCTTTCTTGGTTCTGTGATGTTAGGAAAAATATGACACAGTGGATGTGCTCAATGTCTATTAGATAATACCGCTTTGGATTTTGATGCATCGCCTTTCCATTATGCTTACATTGTAATGTTTTGTATTGCTTTGTTACTTCCCTTTCTCCCTCTGATTGTGTATCTGGGATTGCAGGATGGCAAGCTGCATTCATTAGAAGATAAACAGGTGAAATAGCTATTTAACCGAACAAGTTGCTACGATGCATATTTGCAACTATTTTTTTTTCTAATGACTAAACTACTCTAAAATGTACAGTATTATTTATGTACTGTATCCTTGTAATACACTTTTATATATAATAATATTTTCCCTACATATCATCACTATAGGAGCTTGCAAATGCTGGGGTGATGTACCTGTGTGGCATTGTTAATGGCAAAAAGATGAAAATGCCTGAAATGCTTCAGGTATGTAATTTCTTCCCATGTTTCATCAAATTCTTGATACAAGTAATATATGTTGCATGCAGATCTATAGATTTTTCAGGGTTTAAATTCGGCTCTAAGGTTCTTTCCTTAGAATCCTTTTTGTCCGATCTTTGACATTTGACATTTCCCAGTGACAGGGGGGTGGTGTTTAGGTACATAAGGGAACACAATAATTAAATTGGAGTTGTAGCAATGGAATCGGTTTCAGAAACTCAAAAGGAAATGTCAAATTAGAATCGAGAAAATATAAAAAGCAGAAAACATTTGTGTAAAAAAGGAATCTAGATGAGATGCATCTCTACTAAGTTGGTCCGCGAACTACATTGTTGACTTTTAATTAGATCCTCAATTTACTGTTTACCATGCATTTTATGTTCGGTCTGGTTATAGTTGCTAGGTTATCTTTTCACTAATATTTGATTCGATTAACTAGTTTCTTCTTTCTTTTTCCAATTTTTACTGTTTTGGTGGGAGGGGATGGGGTGGATGTCCAACTCAGTGCATTTGTGTCACTTTGTAAAAAAATTTGCGGTCCACTAGAGTTAACTAACGCCTCTGTTTTATACTCACTCTCACCATTATTTATTACATGTGTAAAGTTTTCAGTGTTTAATGCTCTTTTATTACCAATATTTACGCAAGTCTTCCATGGGTTTATGCAGGATCAACTTAAAATTGCTGGAAGCTCGATACCAAGCCTAATGGTAATTCATCATTTTCTAGTGCTACTTTTTCAGCCACAAATAATGGGCTAAAACTGAGAAGAAAAGAAAATCATTATATCATAGCTATCTTGATAGCTATGCTAGCAGGGTCATATTAGTGTTTGATCTTTTTGGATTCCAATTACAATATATAAGTAATTGGTTATAAATTGGTAGCAAAGAAGTGATAATTGATTAATATTAATCCTGTCATTTCTTCTTTCAAAGTTGACCTCTAACTTGTGAGTTTTGGTTTTGTTGAATGTTTTAAAGCCAAAATGTCGTAACTAGGAGAAAACAGTCAACTCTAATGTGCATTTTCGTATGACTTTGCAGGGTCTCAAAGATATTGCTGATCATGGAAGTAAGTTATTGACGGATGCAAACACAGCACAAAATGATTCTGACAAGTTGAATACAAAAACCTTGATGAGGTATATATATATATACATGTTAATTAAATATCTTTATGTTTTATATATTCTCACATGGTCGGAATGCATTTTGAAGTGTGTGTATCCAAAAGAGGAAGTTGTTTGTTTTCGCACTTGTGCTATCTTGTATTTATTTCAACCTTGCATTTTAATACCAATGTGTGCTGATTCGCAGGACGGCATCGAAAAAGTGTTGAAAGGCGACAATATACAACCAACAATGTGGATTTTGCTTGTGGAGGGAGGAATGTTCATCCAATCTCAAATGTCATATTAATTAATTAATTAATACCCTATGTGCCACTTTGATATTTTACTTTGCCATGTTTATAAATTCCAAATTTGTGTACTTTGAGATTTCAAGACCTACAGCACTACCAGCCATTGTTAATGTTGGGCTCTAATAATTTAGTTTGAATACCACACTGTCGGTAAACCCGTAATTTGTTAATGTGTCTATAAATAGTTTGTTTGCCTGAAATTATTTTTAACTTTGTCCCATTTATAAGGGCTATATGAATTCAGCGGTGGTACTGCTCAAGATTAATAAGTTTGTTAATTTGATATTTTTCTGTAAACGACTCTTCTCATAAATTTACTAGAATCGTGTGGTATCCTCATTTCTCCATGTTAAAATCATGGAGCATCTGTAATGTGTTCAAAGCTAGGAAAAGAATATATATATATATATATATATATATATATATCTTGTAAAGGCTTGGTGGAATCTTGAACTTCCTCCACTATTTTAATTTGATCTTCCCTTGGATGGTATTTTACCATTTGTATATTCGACAATCCAACCAAGGCCATGGAAGAAAGAATTTTGAACAAAATCGACACAAGGGTTGGAATTTTTTATTTGAATCAGACACCTTGAATTTTGTCCTGAACAAATTCTAGGAGTTTAAGGTTGCGGGGCTAGAATTTTCGGGATTGATCCGAACAAGTTCCACTATTGGTTGAACCATGATGGAAAAGTGGTAGAGTATCGTAATGATGCTTCAAGTTGTCCATCATTCAATTCCATACAACTTCATCAAATTCTTATCTTAATTACATCACCTAATCCTAATTAATCATACACCTTCATCAAATGCTTAATCCATGATAGCTGGTCACCAACTATCATGGATTAAGCATTTGAGTACGTTTAACTTATTAAGTGTGGATTAAGCATTCAAACAACATTATTTATTGCTTCTTCCATTTTTGATCTAAAATTTGATCTGTTAAATATAGAGACAAGTGAAGCAAGTAAACAAATTAGACCCACCCACCCACATATCAATGTTTTCATAATAAAATTGGATTACATATCAAATATATTATACACACTACAATGTTTAAACCACAACTCAGAAGAAATAGAAGTTACAAACAGCGGCGGCAGATACAGATACAGATATAGTATAATCGGAGAAGCCAAGCAACATTCGATTTTATTCCGTAGAGAGCTAGAAATAGTATATATATATAAACACACACACACAGACACACACAGTTATTCAGGTAATAAGTTAAAAGTGGTAGAATGAGTTTAAGTAGTAGATTGAGTGAACTTGTAGGAGGCATAAGAGAGAGTGTAATTAGACCAACTATCATGAATGAGTTCAGCTTTTGAATCTAAACCAGCAGCACCCATCGCTACGTGTAACGGATATAGATGGTCAGGTCTCGGATGTGCTTGCTTCGCCAATGGTGCCTTCTCCTCATACTTGTTCACATCTTCGTACCTTCCAGTGAGAAGGGATTGTTTGAGCCAATTATTGAACTCGGCAGCCCAAGAAGCAACAGAGTTGTCATCGACGTTTTGCATGGTTCGTAAGTTATGAGTGGCGGAACCAGAACCAAGAATGAGTACACCTTGTTTCTTTAATGGAGACAAAGCCCTTCCAATCTTGTAATGATAAGTTGCATCCATATTTGTTTGTATTGATAGTTGACAAACAGGTATATCTGCATCTGGATACATTAGCATTAGCGGGACCCACGCTCCGTGATCCAAACCTCGATTCTTATCCTCTTCAACTTCTTCCGATAATATCCCAGACTCATCAATCAGTTTCTTCACCTTCTTCGCCAATTCAGGTGCTCCCGGTGCTGGATACTTTAGCTGTATAGATCAAATTACAATTTCCATTTACCTCTTATAATTAAGTTATCTACCAACAAAAAAAAAATGGTTGCAACTTGCAACAATTAATTTTGTTTATTATAACAAGAATGGATGGATGCAACAACTAGATAGATTATTTATGTTAACTAGATTTCATTTCATGAATTCCTTTTTTAAAATTATCCAAACATCACACAGGCAGAGTCAGGGTTGTATATATAAATCAATTTGTGATCTTGAATAATTGAATAAATAAAATTGATGAAGGAAAGAAAGACCTGGTACATGGGTTTGGGGAAGTTGTAGAAATCGTAGATGGTGTCGGAAGTGCCGTTAATGAGGTTGACGGTGGGGTGAGTGGTCTCCCAGTGTGCAGACACAACCAATATGGAGTTGGGTTTCTGAGTCAGCACCCTTTGCCGGAAAGATTGGAGGAAGTGCCTCGCCGGCTGAGAATCGTCGATAGCCAGCGTCGGCGAACCATGGGAGATGTAGAATGTCTCATTCATGTTCATGTTCAACAACGACGCCGTATTCAGCATCTTATCTTCTTCACACACTCTTAATTCAATAATTTGTTAACTGATGGATGATGTGATTATTGCATTATTCACGCATATAGACGCAAACACCAACAACATACAAGCTCAAACAAAGAGCCCCAATAATATCGTACTGGCTTGTGTTGCGTGTCATAATTTTCGTGGTAGGTAGGTTTTGACACCCCAACTACTCTTAAATGATCAAATGATCAAAATTTAGTAATTTACTTCCAAAAAAAATAAGTTTTTTTTTTTTTTTTTTTTTTTTTTTTTACGTCCGCCGCTAAACGTTGACCGTAATTGTGCTGTCATTGACAGTAAATTAAGGTAATTATACTGTCAATGACAGTTAATTAACGTAAATGTACTGCCGTTGACAATACATTTATGTAATTGTTCTGCCGTTGACAGTAAATTAACGTAATATTATTATTTTTTATTTTGTTTGATTTGTTGACAAGTCAACGTAATTATATTACTGTCGTTGACAGTAAAATAACTGTAAAAACAATAATATTACTGTCAACAACATCAATATTATTATTTTTTTTGGTTTTTTTTGTTTTGTTTTGAGTTATTCACGGAGTAACGTAATAATATTACTGTCTATTATTGTAATATTACTGTAAACACAATAATATTACTGTGGTTGACGGTAATATTACTGTTGTTATAGTAATATTGTTGTCAACCACATCAATATTATTCTTTTTGGAATTTTTTGTTTGGTTGAGTTATTCACGGAGTAACGTGATAATATTATTGTCTATTTATTGTAGTATTACTGTGGTTGACGGTAATATTACTGTTGTTATAGCAATATTACTGTCACTCACAGTAATATTAATTCTTTTGGCTTTTTATTATGTTTACATTTGTTGAACGTTCAACATAGTAATATTACTTTATTATACAATAATAATGGGGTTTGTTGTGTTAATATTATTGTGCTAGAGATGAATATAACTATATTATTGTGTTAAACTATAGTTTAGTTAATTTTACTGTGTTTAACAGTAATATGTTAATATTACTGTCAATCACAGCAATATTGCTGTTTAAACGGAAAAATAAGTTACAGAAAGAAAGAAAAGAAGAAAAAAAAATATTCAAAAAAGTCAACGCCGGAATCCGGCGAAAAAATTCGAAAGAAGAAAAAAAAATTGAAAAGTCAACGCCGGAATCCGGCGGAGAACAAAAAAAATTTGAAAAAAAAAAGTTTTGGGTCAAAATTGAATAATTTGTGAAATTTGGGGTCAAATTGAAGTTAAATTAAGTTAATGATGAAATTTGAGCATATTAAAGTATGAGGGGTTATTTTAGTCCTTTACAAAAATCTGGAGCATGTGTGGACTTATTGGTAAATGAGTTTTTTGTCTGGATCTCTTTATGAATAAGTACCCATTAATGGGCTTATTTGTAAAGACCCATTAAAAGAAAACATCCAACATTTGTGTCTTAAACCCAATTCAAATCCAATTTCATGATTTACATCCCAATTTTACAACTTAACTAAATTTGACCCTTATTTCAATTTTGTCCGCCACCGCCGGTTTCCGGTGTTGAATTTTTTATTTTCTGCAAAAATTTATTTTAATTAATATTACTGTCTTGGCCTGCAATATTACTGTATCCGACAGTAATTTTACTGTTTTAATATTATTTTTATCGTCTTGATCTGCAGTTTTGCTGTCTTCGACCGTAATACTACTGTCTCGTATAATAATATTATTGTTTTGGGACAGTAGTATTAGTAATATTGTTGTTCCGGAAAGTGATATTCGTAATATGAGTGTTGGGGACAGTAATATTAGTAATATTACTGTTTTGGAATTTAATATTTCTGTCTTAGACAATAATTTTGTTGTTAAACGGTAATTTAGAGAGAAAAAAAAAGTTAACGTCGGAGACCGGCCGGAAAAAAAATTCAGAAAAAAAAGAAAAAAAAATCAACGCCTAGCATGAAAAAAAAATTCAGAAAAAAAATTATTTTCATTAAAAAAGTATTTTTACAAAATAAATATGAAAAATGGGGTTAATGTTGTTGGTATATATATAACAATCTACGTAAACAAAAAATATTTACTTGTTTGTCGAAAATAGGAATTGTGAAAAACACAAAGAACGATCGAGGCTTGCCAAAGCAATTCCCATAACACAATATTTCCGGGCTGTCAACGGTGCACAGTCTCTTCCCGGTAGTCTCCCAAGGTACAACGATCGGTTGTCAAATATTTGCACGAATATTCGACCCACGGCGAACTTGAACAATGAACGAAACTTTGACGAATGAAACGAAGAATATTAATTGACGATTAAATTCAGTCCAGAATTGGCCAGGTTCTGCCTTTATTTATAGGCGGTAGAGATCCATTCATAGAGGGTTGCAATGGTTGGAAGAAGAAGCAGAATGTTGTGTCTGTTCTTTTCTCAGAGTTCAAAGTGTAGGAAAATTAATTGGTCATGGGCCAATTAATTAAATATTTGGCTTGGGCCAAATATTTTATTATTATATTTTGGGTCACCTAATTTGACTAATTACGTGTTCCCAAAAGTAATGTTTGTGGACACCTAAACCCAAACTAATCCTATCACTCGATCACATTGAGCACTCATCTTTTGAACTTTAAACATTTAATCAAGAAAATTTCCATTCACTTTACTTCATGATTATGATCAAGTAAATAAATGAAATTAATCTTTACATAGTTTAATTAATATTACTCAATGTTAATTATTGGAAATCATGAAAGTTCCAACAATCCCCAACATGAATAAAATTGTTCTTACATTGTTATCGCATAAGATCTATTTGTTAAAATTCCTTAGTGAATAGTACATCATCGGGATAGGTGAAATATTTCATCGTTAACCTTCCCTAGTTAAAGCATATTCACTTAGCCAATCGGTGAATTATTTCATCGTGAACCGTCGGCTATTTGTGTAAACCAAGACAATAAACTTAACATCATACTAAACAAACTTGTTCAAGTTCTCGGTTGTGTTCGTTTTGGCCATGAATATCCTCAGGTTCTGCGAGTGCTTTAGAGAATTCCAGCCTTTAAGAATTCTCAACGAGCCGTCCCAACTCACACTAACATAGGTGACCGCATCTATAAAGAGTATCCTACTATACCCCACTTGTAATTTACAAGATATAGACGTCATTAAAAGCAATAGCTTAATATTTTTGAACGTCGTAGGTTGCACTTATTGCATCATAGGAATAAGATGGAGTTAAAACTCCTAAGTGCTCCATTCATTTAAGTTACACAGAACTGGTTGTCCTATTGAACTTGGTCCGTGGGATCTCTAGTTGCCAAGTTAGGTTTCCGTATAAGGTAACCTAGTTATTTAGGCTTTAAACTTATTCCCCTCGATGCACATTTAACTCTCTTGCTAGATAAACCTTATTAAATGGATCCGCTAGGTCATTCTTGAATTTCTCAAAATCAATGGAAATTTATTCCATTAGAGAGTAAATGTATCGTATTATACGTCTACGACGAATAAGTCGAGACGTACTATAGTAAAGTATGAGAGCAATTGTTAATTGATTGTTTTTAAATCAAATATTATATTGCCTCACTATATCCTTTAAGGACATTACAAACATATTTAATTTGTAGTTAAATACCCCACATTTTGAGATATTTATAGCTCAATTTTATATATTTTCATAACTCAAAGGAATGTTATTATTTCTCTTGTGTTAAAACTCTATAAAGAGCTTCCCCACAAGTCGCCCAATAAATTTGAATTTTGATCATGTTGATTGAAACACATGTGTATGTGCATACTCTTGAAGTTAAAGCATTTTTCACAAATTTTGCCTCAACGCAAATTTGTCATTTATTAATCATATTTTTCCAAATAAAATCCAATTTTTATTTAAACAAATGTTTTGCAACACGATAATATAACCAATTTTCTTTACTTCACAAATAAACCAGAAAGTTGAAAGGCATAGTGATCACATGAGTTTTCAATAATTTGTGCACAAAATTATTTAGACAATTAAGATGAAATCCTCATCTGTAAAACTTTGTATTGCTAAAGCTATTTAAAATGAAAGCTTTACACGTAGATATACTCAAAAAGATTTTCTTGAACATATTTTCCAAGAACAAATTATCATTTACGCAAATGTCAAAACTGATTAACATATATAAATATATGGGTAAATTACACCCACACCCCTGAGGTATGCTTAAATAACTGTAAGGTCCATGTGGTATCGATAATTACACTCACCCCCTGAAAGGTAGTTAAAAACTTTAACGGGATGATGCATTGGATACATTATTCCGATAGGGTTCTAATGGACTATTACTTTTAGCTAGTTGTGGAGATAACATAGAGTTATGGGGAGTTATGGGGTGACATGGCTCCCCCAATATTTTTTAAATCACCCATAACTCATTGTTGTCTTCAACACTTCCTGAAACCAACAGTCCATTAGAACCCTATCGGAATAATGTATCAAATGCATTATCCCGTTAGAGTTTTTAACTATCTTTCAGGGGGTGAGTGTAATTATTGATACCACAGGGACCTTACAGTTATTTATTCAGTCTTGTATAACAAACACCAAATTAAGCGAATGCAATATACTGGTTAAAACTTTTTAAAACGTTTTTGTATTATAAACTTAGATACGGAAGACACTTAATATAATACAATCTTACTGATCTTAATACAACAGAAAAATAACAAATAAGCGAAGTATCATAAATCATATTTAATAGCTTAGTTCTTGCTGATAACGGCTCCGTTTGCCTTGAAAAGACCGTCACATAGGTATCCCTTTCCTACATAAAACCCTCCTTTGGTTAGCACAAATTTGTCCGACTCAAAAGCCAACTTGAAACTTTTCTTGATTAGGATAGAACCACTGATTAAGTTCTTCCTAATATCCGAAACGTGTAGTATATCGTTCAAGGTAACTTCCTTCCCGGAAGTGAATTTTAGGATCACTTGTCCTTGTCCTTCAACCACCGAATAAGCATCATTTCCCATGAAGAGCTTTTGTTCTTGCTCCAACTTCTTGTAGGAGGAGAACATGATCTTGTCAGAGAAAATGTGACGAGTAGCTCTGGTATCTACCCACCATCCTCGAGTATCGCTCATAAGGTAGGCCTCCGTTACAATTGCCGAAAAGTGG